TGGGCTGAATTGCACAAAACGCATGATCGCACCGGCTAGTCTGGTGCGCGTTGCCATTTATTTGCACTTCTTGCAATGCAAAAACGCATATTGCCGGGGAGGTTGCTAGTGTGTGCGTCTCTACCGAGCTTTCATCTCGAGACCTACAAAAGCTACAGGGCTGAAACTGTGGGAACTTGATCGACACGCATGTACGGGCCCCTACCTCCAAAATGGACTCTCTTGCCCACGTGGTTCTCACGTACAGTCCCGTGAAAGTGTTGTTGGCGGATAAATTGCTAACTGGGGGACCAGAAGGCTGAAATTTTAAGGGGCTCTTTCCCGTCCGTGTAGGGCTTAATGACTTCAAATTCAGCCCCAGGTGCGCGTGGTTCTCACCTACGGGCCCATGAAAATTTTTGGCAGGTAGCTTGCTAGCACTGGAATTAGAGAAGCTAGAAAGCTGAAGTTTTAAGGGGATGTTTTATGACAGTCGTGGCGGCCATTCTCAATTCTTTAGCTAGAAGCATCTGCCAGGAAAAACAATGCTGTTAGAGACAAAAACCTGCGGAGAACGGTCTGTACAGTTCTAGTTCATTGCCGAAGGAAGAACTCACAACCCATCTTCTTCAGGAAATTAGTTGAGTTCCTGCACGTATACAAACATATGAGAGGATAAAAAACTTTTCAAATGAAAGGATGAAAAACTGTTTAAAAAAAAGGCTGAGAAAGTGGTTTTAATGTATGCTAGAAAAAGTCAGAGTGGGGTATGTTAGCGGAGTGGGATTTATGTCAGCATGAAGTGGTCACCACAAATCATCACCTGTTAGCTTTACTTGTCATGAGTCGGCGTACTTCTTTTCATGCTGTACTTTAATAAAACCCTCAGAATCGTTCAATTCTTTGCCCACGATATGGCAGGCAATGATGATGAGATGGAAGAGTTCTGCGTTGAGCTTGAATCGATTTTAATTGTCCGATCTACATGTAAATCATTGTGGGGGAACTTTAGCACAGAGCTTGGAAAGGGAGGAAAGGATGGAAAGAAATGCACTGGCGAATGCAACAGTGCAAAAAGGAATGTCAGAGATGATGGACCATCTACTTTATTGATAATATCTGATTCCGGGGAAACGCAACATGGAAATGGATACTATTAACATGCTGATAGCTCGGGCAATCTTGGTATTAGAAGGGCCTCACATAGTATTTAGAAGCAACCCAGTAATATCACTAACATGGAATACCCTTTTGATAGCCTCGGCAGCCCTAGTATTCCTTCTTGAGTGGTTATCTTCGTGCAAGAAATCTAATATTTCGCAAGATGTCGGAGTGCAGCACCGCCGATAGCTTTCTCTCGAATTTAGAAAAAAAGATCAACAGGGAATTGATCAGCCATAAATTCACCTGAACTGTGGAGCAACGAATGCCTTAAATAAGGTCTGTTGGTACATAAAACCGTGCAAAAACAACTGCTACACATCAATGATTAATAGTTACTATTCCAGAAGTGCGTCAGAATTTTGCTGGAGCGATGATGCTGATGGCGTTTCTAGGGGAGTTGCGAAAACATCCGACGGTCGTTCGATTATGAATGGTGAATTATCAAATGATCCTGACCTGGGCAGAATGCGACAGGAAGCAGCCGTTAGTGCTGAATTATTGCTCATTTACACGTTGATATATTTTTATATCGCAATGCATTTTGTGGCGTTCTGTGTATGAGAAGTACTCCATCTCCGTGGTTGATGCTCGTAACGGTTCTGCGGTAATCTTGGCGTTTTTCCTTCTTTTTTTTCCCTTTCCTAGAGAGCGCTTGGTGTATGTCATACCCCAGTTGACATTTATTTAGCACTTCAGCGCACTGTACGAGCAAATCTTTTTTATATTCTTCTGTGATGGTGGTCATATCTAATGATGGTGATAATCACCTGTGTGAATGCTTTGCGAAGACAGCTTCGTTGGAATTCGCAAAAACACTTATGTTCCCAAAGCCAGACAAGGAAGAGTGCGTCGCTCGTTGCTTGTGTCAAAAATGTTTCTTAATTTTAAAAACCATCGAAAATATGCGTATCACTCTGTTGGTGAATGGGTTCTTTAAATTTGTTCGTTTCGTGTGTTTATCATTCGAATACAGGGGCTTTGTAATTAAATTTGAAAGTTAGCAATGGTTAATTTGTATCTATTCCTCTGAGCTTCGATGAGTTGTGCATCTACTCCCGCACTTAAATTTCCGGATGTTCAACATGAAATATGTTATTTAATAAAGATATATACATATGTATAATATATGTACATATATATATATATATATATATATATATGTACATATATACATACATATATATATATGACAATGTGTGTATAAAAAAAACAAAAATATAATGATAATAAAAAAAATACATTCTTTATGACTTGTATGCCAGAATGATCGATAAAATTTAAACTCTTATATTTCTGTTTTACATATGTCATTATTATATCATCATATATATAATGATGATACATATATAAAACAAAAATATGAGAATTTGAATGTATCGATCGTTCTGGCGTGTAATTCGTGAAGAATGTAGTGGGAGAAAGTTTTTCTGCCTCTAAAACCGGATAAAATAAAATACCGAAGATTTTTGGTGATGCATCCTGTTGGTATGCATTCATGGAATTTTAAAAAAAATTCATTTTTCATGTCCGCTCAGGTCTCATATACGGGCGCGTAAAATTTCACATGGAAAATTTTTGGTTAGGAAAACCAAACAAAACAGTTGAAAATTCCGTGAGATATTGCCTGTTCATCTGCAGTCGTTCAAAGCTGAATTCAGCCCTAACGTACGCCTACGTTTTACGCACAGATACATGGAATTTTTGCTGGGAAATTTTGCAGTTTAAGAACCAGACAGCATATCGACTATTTTCGCACACATCAGTGTATAAGTCTACTAAAACAGTAGACTCCTGCTGGATGAAATCGCAAGAAACGTACGACTTTGGTGCGCGATGCTATTTATTGTGCTTGTTACACCCTTACTTTATAAAATAGTGCGCCAAAAGTTAGGATGAACAAGGCTTCCGGAGAACCGAACCTTTTCAAGTGATGCAAGTGCCGTTATTTCACTTTCATTCGCAGCGATTCTTCAAACGTAACCCTTCGCAGTCTCACAGTTAGCCACCTCCCCACATGTAATTTGGTCTCCTGCAGACCCTCGACTTAGTCAGTTAATGCAAGAATAATGTGTTTAAGGTTCATGAACGAGAATTAGGCTTGTTGGCCGAAAAAGATGCTGTGCTTCATGGTGAACGCATTAAAAATCTTGATGAGCAGCATCGTGAAGAAGAGGTATTCCGATTTTTAATCCAGTTTTTGTTTGTACTGTCGATTTTTCTCAAAAACTAAATACCAAGAGCGTCTGTGCAGTCGGCGTGGTATTCAACATTAGCAGTTTTAACGAGGTGTTCTCATACGTCGGGCGCAGCCGTGCTCGGGCTCCTCGATCCCGGCCTGTACGGTTCAAATGCGCGCCCATCGTTTATTCGAGGTATGTACACCGTCGTTTCGGAGGCCCTTCATATGGTTGTTTATTGCCACTTCAGGTGTGCCATTTGCTGATGAATGACACCCATCAGTTGTCTGCTGTGCATGCAACACGCCGTGCTTGTCGAATTTTACTTTCTTG